CACTTTCGAGTATGACTCGACGAATCGCTGATAATATCCAGCCAAACCCATGAAAGAGCGTACATTCGTCGTGCAACGGGGTTCCGGCTAATCCACGATGGCTTGGATCTTGTCCGCTAAGGGACGAATGCCTTTTTGGCGTAACATAGTGGCCCAAATATTCAAGCTCCTGCTTGGCGAACTCGCACTTGTCGCGGTTCGCTTTGCACTTGGCCAGTCGCAAACGATACAAAACAGCGTGAAGGTGTGTGATGTGCTCGTCCAACGTCCTGCTATAGACCAAGATGTCATCGAGGTAGATAAGGATGCTGCGATCGAGCAAGTCGCGAAACTCAGTTATCATAGCTGCTTGAAAAGTCGTGGGGGCATTGGTGAGGCCAAAAGGCATGACAACCCACTCAAAATGCCAGTACCGTGTCTTGAACGCGGTCTTGTACCGGTCTTGAGGCTGGATTTCAATATGGTGGTAGCCTGACTTCAAGTCCAACTTCGAGAAGTACGTCGCGCCGCCTAACCGCTCAAGAAGATCATCAATCCGAGGGAGAGGGCCGGCGTTCTTTACGGTTTGTGCGTTAAGTTTGAGATAATCAATGCATAACCGTAGATCTTTGTTCTTCTTCCGGACGAAGAGAACAGGGGCACCGTATGGCGAGCAACTAGGGCGAATCCAGCCCTTGTCGAGAAGGTCGTCGAGTTGTGCGCGAAGCACCTCGAGTTCCTTTTCGCTCATGCGGTAGATACATCCACGCGGAGGGACGGCGCCAGCCTCGAGAGTGATCCCATGACGTATGGGCCGATCCGGAACCGTTCCGGTGGGAGCCTCGAAGACGTCTCCATACTCGTCCAAGAGGTGAGTGATGCGTGGGTCCGGCGGTGACGTGACTGGTCCGTCCGGCAAGGGGAGAGCATGCAAGAATACAAGGCCCATCTCCTCGACGTCATTCCGAGCTATGGCGTCTCGAATTCTCGCAACGGAAACCACGTGACAAGCAATCGAAGTGTGAGGGGTCGCGACCGTACATGGGACTAACACTCCGTTCCGATCACGGATGTGAACGGTTCGGTCATGAAAGTTCACCGSATGATCGGCGCTACGCAACCAAGACATGCCTARAATCATGTCGAACTTGGTGTCGAGGATGTCAAAAGACACCGGCTCGCACGCAAGTGGCGCAAAGTATACCGGAACGCCGTCGACGCATCGGTCAATCGACTTTTGCGTGCGGCCGTTCGCGAGTGTAACTTGCGTGGGTTGCGTCTTCCTTCGAATGCGCGGGCCAAGGCCTGCGCGGGCTATAAAGGCTTGGCTCATAAAGTTCCGAGACGCTCCGCAATCAATCAAGGCACTACAGGTTGCCTTTTCGATTTGAATGCGGATATAAAGCAAAGGTGCGTCGGTTTCGGCGTACCTTTGGGTGGCGTACTCGCGGTCAATCTTCGCAAGATAGCAGCGAAGATCGACAACCGCTACTCCGTCGTCCGTCAACGGAGCTGGTACTGTAGCATGCAAATAGGAGCGTAGATTTGCCATCAAGGCATTGCAATGCGGCCTTGGCAAGGTTCCGGTTGAGGGTAGAGGCATCCAAGCGAAGTCCTCTCTCGTGAGCGGGTCAAGCTCCTTAAGTCTTGACCACGCCGTCGAGTCCTTGGAAATCAGTGGCGAACTGACTGAATCACTTGCCGACGGTGTACAGGCTGCGCATACGCAATCTAAGTGCACGTGGCTTGGCTGGTCTAGTGGTGGTACCAGCTGGGCGGCATAATCCTCGTACGTAGCACGAGAATCAGCGACTAACGCATGCTCCCCGGTAGTGATATCGATTGCTAGCAAGGCAACCGGGTCCGGTGGAGTGAGAAGAGACGTCGCCCCTCTCCTTGCGTTACTCAGTTTCCCGAGTTCGTTGGACAGGGTACGCGTGCCTTGCCCTTTTCGGGGCACTGTGTTGTCAAATGAGTCAGTCCATTGCACCAAAGGCAATATCCGTACCGTTGACGAAGGTCATAGATTTCCTTGGTTATCTTGTATGCGGTCCATGGCTGCTGCCCAGTTCCCGTCGATGTCGTCTCCTGTGTCGCCTTGTTCTTCCGAACTCTCTTCGGACGCTTCGGCGGGAGCGCTGCTACAATTCCTCCATCATTCGAGGATGCTGCTGCAGCGTGGAGATCGACTGTTTCTTCCGAAATCACGGCATTGTTATGTGTCGGTCGTTGATAGCCCTGCTTAGCCACATAATGCGGCTGGGACTGCCGTTCGTTTGCGGCCTTGTCATCCGTTTGGATGACCAAGTTCGCACGATCCAGGATGGGCTGGAATGAGGCGTAATCGTACTCGTTGCCGAGTGCGGTTCGCAGTCCTGCGCACGATCGCGAGAAGAACTCGGATCGTTGGTTTGTAAAGCTCAAATCGAAGCCTGGCGTGGTCACTATCTTTTGCCACTTAATTGTCTTGTCTCGAGTTGGCATGCTTCCTTGTGAGCATGTGTAGACCTCGTTCATGGCCGCCTTCACCACGTTGCGGACCATGAATCGAGTGAACCACAATTGTTCAAACTCCTCCCACGTGAGGTGTTTGTGTAGCTCGGCGATCGTGGTCTTCTTGTTGACTGCGAGGTGGTTCATCCATGCTTGTGCCCCTCCAATGAGTTGGAAGTATATGGCCTTCATCATGTCTTCGGTTGGGACCTTGTGGCATGATGCTTCCGTGAGGAAGGCTTGCCACCATGTCAACGCGTCGGTCTTGTTGTAGTCCTCAAACTTGCCGATGTTGAACCGTGGCATCTTGTATACCTTCGCAGCTGCTGCCGGTTGTGACTGCAGCTTGGTGATGTCTGTCTTGATGGCGGCCACCGTGCTGCTGATTGTAGCCGGACCGGTGAAATCACTGAGTTTGCCGATTAAACTGACGACATGGTCGATGCGCTCGTTGAGCTGTTTCGCCGTGTCCGTCGTGCAGCCTGGCGCTGCTGAGGCCTTAGCCTCGATGCTGTTGACGCGTGCGGTGGTGGTGCTCAACAGCTGTTGCTGTTGTTGCTGATGTGTGGCRGCCGCGCRAACAGCARCTGTTAAGGCTGCAGAATCATTCTGCTGGATCTGTCGCAGCTGTCTGCCCTCGTGTATTTGCACCATTAACATCGTATTRTTCCACATGACCGCTCGCATCATGTTCAACATMAGGTTAGCCAGGTYGCTCCTTTCTTCCTCCGCCGGTGTCGGATCCGCCTGTGTATCCGAAGGCACAAACAGCATGCCTTGGAGCAGTGTCGTCCACTGGCTCTCATTCACAGTCAGGGATTCGATGCTAATGGCGTTCCGCTTTTCTCGTACCACGGTGTCAGCCTCAACAGTCCGCTGAGCTTGGGCTGCCGCCTCATTGGCCAGCCGCTGACGTTCCGCCTTTGCTGCGTCCTGTGCTTTTGCGGTAGCTACGGCATCCGTGAATGCCTGTACTCGCTGAAAGTAAGCCGTCAATGGCTCACTGGCCCCTTGGACCGGGGCATGCGGGAAGAACCCCCGTGGTAACCGGTACTGTCATTGCTGTACTCGATGCTGCTGGAGTCTTCCGCTTGCTGAGTCGCTGAGCCTTGGTTCGGGAAGGTACCACAGAGCGGGCACGAACTGCAAGCCTGGCACTGCGTCGTGGCAGTGCCCCGGTGTCCTGTTCCGTCGACATCAGTGTGAACTGATGTGGTACTTGAGAGGTCCCGGTGGTCACAGATTACGGGGAGGGTAGGGAGAGTGGGAACAGGGGTAGAACAATCAAACAATTCGCATACAGTCCCCTGTCCCACTGATGGACTTAAGACACCTAATCAACAGAGAAAAATAATTTCCCGTAAACAATTCAAAAAAAATTCGTAATAAGAAAATAATACGATTTATTTAATCAATAAAGTTTAATTAATGATTAATACGAAATAATAATTCTTAATGATAATCACATAAAACAATATTTGCAATAATGAATGATAATCACTAAAACAATATTTGCAATAATGATAATGAACGAATTTGAATTGTGTCAAGATTAGGTATCCATTGAGATCATCTTTAGTCCGGGAGTTCACCGTTAATTAGTGAACTACCCAGAAGTTGCAATTCTGAGGGTCAGATACGGATTAGTTTGCCAAAAAAAAAAATCCGGAAAAAAAATCGGAAGAAAAACACTCGAATTTTCAAACAATGTGAAATTTCTGGAATTTCCACCGTCAAAATCCGATTTTTAAAGGCCTAAGTCGGTTTTCGGAATTTCTCAAACAAGGGAGAGAGAAAAAAAAATTCGCGAAAATTTCGGATTCCAACCCTAAATTTCCGCGATTCCGCGGAATTTCCGGTTTTACTGTCCCAAAACGTTCGAATTTCCCAAGTTCATTGAAAACCAAAAATTTTCGTAACCCTAATTTCCCACACTGCATTTAAACGGAAATACTGATTTAGAAAACGCAATACAGGATTAAAATCAGAATGCTGGATTATAAAAACGGAAACCGAAATAAAATCAGAATGCCGAATTTGCAGTAACCCTGTTCAACAGCAGACCGGGGCTCAGAACTTTGCCCCCGGTAAGACACAGACTCAGTTGTCTGTGCTGGGCTATGTGACCGAGACATGCCCAGCCTGAGTCTCTCGAGGAGGCTGTGTGACCAAACGCAGCACAAGGGAAATTCAACAGTCAAAGACAACTGTAGAGTCAAAGGTACCGTACCCAGGCCTATGGACGGATACATTCACTTGTTGTGTGCAGGTACCCAGACAGCATTCAGGGCGGGAGAAATACAGTTTCTGGCCGATCTGGGCCCTCATTCATATCGAGATCTGGATGGTGCAGGACCTCAGTACCCGGGGTCCAGACCCCGCATCCACGCTATTTAAGAGTTGACTTCCTGGCTGGAGAACATTCAGTCTTGCGTGAATGCTGACTTCACGCGTGGACTTGACGCTGTTGCTATGCTGCGACATTGCGACATTGGCTTGACGCCGGCTATATGCTGGCAGAGGAGGACAGCAAGGCGCTGCTGGCTGGCAAGGTGCTGGCTGGCGATGGTCTTCTGGGCATGCT